ATTAGACTACTCAGATAATTTCACAATGCATTTTTCTTCCCACCTTGCGCTTTTTATGGAAGAACCAGCACCACCAGTGTATTACGCAGCTACAAAAGTTCACCACCTCAAATCAGAGCAGCTGGAATCGGAGCGAAGCGCAGTGCAAAAAAAAACAAACAAAAACACAAAATAAGAACATGTTTTTCTCAGCTACGTTGTGTTTCTCCTTCTCAGTTTGTGCTTAATTTACAAGTTTACAACCGAAATGAAAAGTTATCTAACTGTCTAGAGCCAGGAAGGTTCAGTGCTTCTGGCTTTGTGTTTTAAGTTGTACTGTTTGTGCCTCGGTGTTAGCCGGAGCGCTGTAGTGCCCGCTTGGTCTCAGAGAGCAGGCCTTATATTTATAGCTCGGCTGTGGGTGTTGGAGGAAATGGTGCATCGCCCGTTGGAGAGGCTCGTGTTTGCCTTCGGAGAGGACTCTTCCTCACAAACAAGACTGAGCTCATCCCCAAAGATGAGCAGAAAGGAAGGAAGTAAAAACAGCGTTCGGGAGGGGAGAAGAGGATGGACGACTTGTAATCCCGCTCCCAAATGGCAATGACCCAAATCATTTTCACACAAACTCTGCTTTGGTCAAAACACAGGCGTCTTATTGATAGCATGTGTGACATTCCACCACCCTGTCTCAATATTCCAGCCCTGAGTTTGTTCGCAGACCTTCAGGCCTGAGAGCTCTGTTCCCTTTCTTCTCTCTCTTTGGCGCGTTTTGCTGCYGTCCATCTGATTTCTGTCCCTGAGTCTTAAACACTCACTTGCTCTTGTATTTATTCTTGTGCTTTGTGATTTTAGAGGTGATTGCTTTATTTCAAACATGTTAAAATGGTGTAGGAGGGACTACAAATATATTAAATTCACCTTAATATTTTGACACACATTAATTTACACAGTGACAGTCTGCTAAAACATCTGAATATTTTACAGTATTATACAGTTATTATACAGATAGACCCAGTGGTGAAAGACAAAACAATATTATTAATATAGGATAAATTTAATTACAGTAAAAAAAACACTATTGGGCCATCCACACTGGAATGTTTTTTTGTGAATACGCAAAAGTTTCTTATTGTTTTAGACTTAAGTCCACATGGAAACATTGTTTTAGGAGCCCAGGGACTGTTTTTATTAACACCCACGTATCAAAATTTATGACCTACACAGTGCACTAACACTAACCAGATTGACACCAGATCCAGACTGGCCCACACTTGTCTGATCTGTGGGCAGTTCCATAATGAAAACATTTTGTAATGCTACCTTTGAGTTTTTGTGTAGACAGCCAAAATGCAATGTTTGAAAATAATGAYGTCATAGCGCCACCTCTAATCTAACCTACGAGCCGAGGGCGTCATTCTCTTTACATATCACACCCAATGTTTAATTCCTTGTTTCCTGTTTTTGGTGTAATTTGTGGCAGCGGTACACCACCACAAACTAGGGTAATGCGATATATCGGCATTAACATCGGTAAAACTTATCCAATATTAATGTCCGATATTGATTTCCCACTTTCCAGCTTTGTGTTTCTGTTTTGGGAGGGGAAATTGTTGGTCGAGCAGTTTAATCATGATAGTTAGTGATGCTGCGCAGCCAGGAAAAACTGAAGTAAAGAGCCATGTCAGAAGTCTGGCCATCTTTTTACGGTATCGAAATAAGACAAGTGTATTTGTGTGTATATGTATATAATTTGTTTGTGTAATATAGGTAAATATCATTTATCGACCATAACACCAATGAAAATGTCAGATATCGATATAGGCTGAAATTTTCATATCGGTACATCCCTACCACAAACAGGCCAGGCACAGTTACTGCAGTGTTTTATTTTCAATGTTCAGTGACATTTCCAGGTCTGGTGCCGTGTGGACGAGGTCACAGTTGGTGTTAAAAATCTAGTTGTTATTTGACTGCTCGGCTGAGATTGATGATGGCTTTTGTTTGCACTTCTTCTGTTTCCTTTTACCCATTTCTGCTCAGCGAAGCTTCATCTCCAGCTAACTAACCTCTTGACCTGCTTCCTCGGTACCTCACTGAGGTTCTGTTGGCAGCTTCTTGCAACCGAATCACTGCATAAACTCCTTCCCTAGTCAGTTTGGATGTAGAATTTAGAGCTTGATGCTAGTCAACTTATTTATTTTATTTTATTTATTACCCTTTATTAAACCAAGCAAATCCCATAGATCTTTCTTTTCAAGGGAGGCCTGAGCCTGGAGGCAACCTATTGAGTAGACAGAAAACACGAGGAGAACCTGCAACTCCGCACAGAAAGACCCCAGGTTTGAACCCAGGACCTTCTTGCTGTGAGACATCAGTGTTAACCGCTGAGCCATCGTGCTGTCACTAAACAAGCAAAACGCACCGCAAYGTTCTGCCTGCTCCAGCTAGTGTTGATACCCCTAAACAAACAAACACAAACATTTAAAGAAGAACGAGAAGAAGCAAAAGGGGGAGAACGTTAACACGAGCCCGGTTTCATCTCATGAATATTTAAAACCTCATGACTTCTGAGAGAGAGGAAGACACTCCTCGGCTCGCACATTTAAGCACACGGTTCTCAGCGGCACAGAGACGAGGATAAGTGAGGGGGTGTGTGAAAGTGTGCGGCAATCTGTCAGGTTGAATTCGTGGTATTTAGGTTGAGCCCCATTTCAAGATTCCCTTCGCTGCAGGAGTTGGAGGCTAGCTGTACGTGTAAACGCTGTCATCCTATTTATCCCACTTCATCCCATCATCCAAACCTCTCCTGTCCTGAGCTGTCCTCTTCGTTTTGCTTCCAGCCGTTTAGGATCTGGAAGGTTTTTGTCAGCATTGTTAATGTTCTCATTTTTTGACAGGCGCTCGAATAACAAAAAAAAAAAAAAGAAAAACAGTATTTGATTTACATAAATGTGCACTGATTCAGTGAGGTGACATTAACCCCTAATTACTGGTATTCAACATAATAAAAACCTAAAAAGGGGAAAAAATATGGGTTGAAATGGTACAAAAAAAGTGTTAGTGATGATTTTTCAAACATTTAACTATGAGAGACTTCCAGATATACTTTATATTCTAATCTTCAAATGTCAGCTGGCAAAATGTTTTTATTTTGATAATTAAACAAATTGAGAGTAATAAACATGAAACACAGCAATTTGGTCTAATTTACTGAACCCATTTGTCCTGTCTCCAATCCTGTTTTCCACTTAATTAATCAGAACGGCACTTAACGACAACTGCGTTTGGCTGCTTTAGGAAAAGTGCTGTAAAATGTAACTGTGTTACTAGAGTTTAATAAATCTGTTGCTAGTGGGCAGCAACAATATTGGCAATTATTGGCCACTCGCAGTGTTAGCACATAAAGACATCATAGCTGCCTGTACCGTTTGCTAAAGCCCTTCTTGCTCAGAGAAGATGCTACATTTTTCTACTTTACTTGTGTTTATATTCATTATAGAGTGGCATTGAAACAGCATATTTGAAATGACTAGTTTAATTCTGATTTTTTTTAAATATATGCTGATTTGCCTCCTAGACTGCATTCTCTCCTGAGGTATGTTTGCTTTGACCTTTCCTTTTCCCTCTTCCTCCTCATGTCGAGGCGCATGTGTGGCACAACTCATGGATTAAAGGCCAGTGGGGTCATTGTGACATCCAGAAATATTTTTTTTGTGTTGTAACCCTGATGAATAGGCAACTTGTGAAAATGTTGCTGCCTGAATCTGTCAGCTCAAATGTTGAGCTTTCATTCAGTAGGTCATGGTGAATAAATCTATAGGCTACTCTGCAATGAACACTAACTGAATGAATTCTCTCATTTTAAGAATTCAATCGAAATACATTTCAAATATCTAACAAAACCATTTATTTATTTTGTATAAAACTTAATTAGCATAGTACAATTTGTATCAATAAAGACAGTGCTCAATGTTTTGTGTCATATTTTTGAAATTATAACTTCACCATAAGTTTTATTTGATTTTAGGAATTAAGACTTTGCACTTTCAAGGAACATGGACTATTAGGCACAGCTAACACATCTGAAGAGAACATCGGTTTAAAATACAACATACACTTATATCCAATTAGTTATAAGTTTAATGTCACTTTTACTGTGGTTTCACTTTCTGGATGATTGTCTTTTGATGTGCTGTGTGTTAACCCTAACCTGGTAGGCTAGGTTCACTCTGAGCTCTTTTAAACACCGTGTGGATTTTAAACATGATGTCTTAAACCAACATCAAATTGTGGTTAAATATTGAGGTCAGCATAAGAGGGCAAACTTTGTACAAACTCTCACTTTTTGTAAAACAAAGTTTCATTTTTGCATTTTGGTCAGTTTCTTTAATGTATCAGTGGTACTTTTCATTTTGTTGTGCTTTTTGTTTAATGTTAAATTGGAGATAAAGAACGGACTAAAACAGTCATCAGTTTACTGAGGCAGTGTTCTGTTGGATAAATGTTTCTCTGTGAGGATTTGACTGAACATCGTTTGTATTCGGTAGCATTTAGTTCTGGCCAGTGTGGGTTGTTTTATCCCCTCATCACAGAAGGCTGGACTGAAGGGGACACAGATGATAGGAGGTCATTCGTCCGAGCTGGACGTTTTGACATCCTCCTCCTGACATGTTGCTTTGTTGCCTTCAGCCTCGGAGAGATGACATGGAATTATTAGGTGCAACAAGTTCATGGAAAGCTTTTCCAAGCCTCGATGAGTGTGTGTGTGGGTTAGGTTTTTTTTATGTGTGTGTGTGTGTGTGTCCTTTTCTCCATCCCTGCCACTACGTAGCAACTTTTCAGAACCTAATTAGGCCCAGTAAGAGCCACTATTGACTCTGAGCACAACAGACRGGGCTTGCTAATGAGATCTCAGAAATAAAGATCATTGACACAAAAGAAGCTGCTTTTTTTACCTCTTTTAATTTTTTGTCCCCCTTTTTCAWTTTTATTCTATTTGTTTATTATTTGTCTGTTTTTAGCTCAGAAGAGCTGCAGCCCGAAGCAGTTTGTGTGTAAGGATGGTGTGACGTGCATCTCCAAGGGCTGGCGCTGTGACCGTGAGAAAGACTGTCCAGATGGATCTGATGAGGAGCCTGATGTTTGTAAGTCTTCCAACAAAACCAGTCAAGAAAAAAGTCTAATATATTGTTGTTGTGGCAGATTTTATGTGCAAACTCACTGAGCTGAGTCTTCTGCATCTTAGTTGAAATGAACTTATGTGGGAAAATAGCTCACTAAAATGATGCAGATTCATGTGAAATGATGACTTTTTCTGAAATTTATCATTATTTATAAGTTGGGGTTTAAATGGGGTTCCTTTGAAATGTCATTAATTAGTTTATTGGGACAGGTATGTACTCGGTMTACAAACGTCTAATAGTTTTACGTATTTCATTAGGATTTTTCTTAAACACAGACACCTGTTTCGTAGCAGAAAGAAAGCATTTTATATGAAATCATAAATTGTGTTGTAATGTAAATCTTAGATTTTATTGGCCTCTAAAAAAGCTTTTTTAAAAATCTAATACATAACATCTCATCATTTTTTATCTGTGAAAGATCTGTACACTCTCAGGGTTGATTATAGTTAGATAATTTCTGAGATTTTCAAAAACATTTCTGTGTTGGGGGTCTTCTAATACCCTATTGAAGAGTTTGGTCTTATTCTTCTTAACTTTGAGGTCCTTGTGTGAACAGATGGAAATTGATGGACTGTTTGATTTACTTAACAGTAAGTAGAGGAAACAATGGGATGCTCTGTCAGCTAGTGAGAGAGATCAAGCTTCAACTTAACGGCTCTGTTCTGCTCAATTACTGAATTTACAACATTAGTCTTTTAAAATAGGTGGGAATTCCTGTCGAGGAGTGCAGTTATGACATTAAACCAGAAATAAAAGACTACAACAAGCATTTGAAATGTTTTAAGTCTTAATCCCTGCTGATGAGAGGAAAATATCAGTGTCTTTTGGGTCAGTCTCTGAGAGGACTTACTTCTCTAAAAAGACAACGGGTTGAAGTTTGGGTGGGAAAAAGTGTGTTTATGTATAAAAAGAGCTGACATGAGTGTCATGGAGGCAGGAATAGAAAACTTACTGCAGTCTAGACTCTTAAAACTGTAAGATGGCAGTTCTGTGAGTCAGTCAAGTTTTGCTCACAGCAATGGAGCGAGCTGCTGTTTGCTTCRTCAAACCCGTTTTCATTTGGGTGCCCACCTTCTTCTGGTTCTCTGAAGAAGGTGTCTCCTAAGGATGTGCCAAGTCYTATATGGAAGAGGTTCTAAATATTTCCTCTGAAAACAAATGACGGCTTTATACAATAGCTAGTGAGAAATCCTCTTGTAAATAATATAAAACAATCACATTACATTCARTAACGGCAAAATAAACACAGGCTGCAGTGCAAACAATGTGAAAATGTTGCCATAGTTGACATTTGTGTAAAAATGAGTCCATAAAGTCGTYGTCCAGACTCATTTTGCCAGCACGGGTCACATTTTAGGGCAGACTGAATACAAACATTTACTTTTAACSGTTTCTTTGGATTGCTAATTGTGGTCATATGCTCCAGTTCATCTATGTTTGACTTTTAAAAAGCCAAATATATCAGGTTTTCTAATTCCAGGGTCAACTTGGCTGTTAAAAGCTGCCCATTTCTAACTCCAGGTTCACTCCAGGTATTCACTGATTGGCTTCAAAAGACATGCAGTACTTGTGGCTCTGAGCATTGTCAGAGTTTAGTGAAGGGTAGAATGCTGTTTCAGTGATTATATCTGAMAGCAGGGACTGCATGTGTCATGTTGCTGCCCCCTCACCTAACACAGCCTTCACCTGTTCTCCAGAAACATAAGAGCAAGAATGGATCATTATAAAATATACGAGTTTCAATTGGACTGCTTGTTTGGATTGTCCATAAATTACACATATCTTCCACCATTTTGCATGTATACAGACATATGGAGAAAATCTCATAGATTGTTTTCAAAAACTCAGCTTCAAATTTATTTTGTGTCTTAGAGCCGGTCTGTAACGAAATGTTAAGTTCACGTCTTCCTCCTCCTTCCACCAGTCTGTATCTGCTTCCTTACAAACACCTCCAACCCCCTCCCTAACACAAAAGATACGTGAACAAATCTAAGTATTCACAAGCAGAAACAATTGGAGAATTATCAATAATAATAAAAAGGGATAGTTTCTGTTCACATCCCCCAGTAAATCTCAGCACAGCTTCTCGCAGTGGTTCTGTCCAAAGGAAAACAGGACATATTAACTGACCAGATCACCTGTCTGAAGCTACTAAATTCTCAAAAAAAAAAAAAGGTTTGAAGATTTGTGTTTTGACACAACTCAACTTTCACGCTGTTGGTGGAAATCCCAAAAAAAAAAAAAAAAAAAAAAACGTGAATCAAAGGTTTGAAAGAAGAGCAGGTCTTTTTCTTTTTAGAAAAGGTTTTTTCACTGCTTTTGTTAAGGGTGAGATTTTTGCAGACTGTTACCGAGTGACTGAGGGACATTTTTTCCCTCCCTTCAGACTAACACAAGCACAGAGAGATTTAACACTTTGCCTTAGGGGCTTTAATTGGAATCACAGATTATGTTTTGTCCTCAGTGAGGAACTAAAAGGTTAAATCAGGTGGTATTGTGTGTGCCTTTTTCTTGGAAAATTGTATTCGAAAAGCAAAATTGGCAATAACCTTGTGCCACACAAAACAAACTCTCCTAAATCTCTGGCACCATTTTGCTTTTTATACAATTTGTAAAGATGATGAGCTGCATGGTTGCACTTCATGGGGTACTTACAGTAATGATACTCAACAATGACCACTAATAACCCTGTACATAATCATCAGTTTTCAACTGGAACCTATTACCTTATGTTTAAACCTACTGGAATAATAAAATATACCATTCTAAAATGAAATAAATTACATTAGAATCAGTGTTTCCCCTAGGAAATTGGTTTGGGGGGGGGCTACTTGTTTTATAAAAACATAAATTTACGTGACTCACCTGCAATTATGGTAATAAATTTATACATACATGAATATTTAATTGCTTAACTAAATCCTAGTTAAGGACTCCTCATGATAATTATCAATAAAATTATTATTGATAATAAATGATCAGAACTGTGTGCAGCAGATGATCTGAGTCCAGAGTTCTCAGTTTGAAACCTTCTGGAGCTCTTCTGTGTGACTCCAGGTGTGATAGAGTGTGAATGGTTGATTGTCTCTTTGGCCCTGATGGAGACTGGAGACCTGTTCAGGTGTCTCTGGTGAACTGGAGACCTGTCCAGGTGT